TAATCCTAGCAGCTCTGAAGGCTGATACAGGAGGATCTGAGTTCAAAGTCAGCCTCAGCAATTTAGCAAGACCCTAAGCAACTCAGTGAGACCCTGTCCCTACTCTTACTAAAATACAAACAAAACAAAACAAAACAAAAACAAAAACAAAAACGGGCTGGGGATGTGTCTCACTGGATAAGTGCCCCTGAATTCAATCCCTGGTGCCAAAAAAAAAAAAAAAAAAAAAGACTAAATATCACATGACTCTATGAACAAGGTAATTAGATTAGTAGTTTCTCAGGACTGGGGAAGATGAAGGGACTTGGGGGTGGGGGTGATAATAGCTAGGGAATTTGGGGTTTCTGTTCAAGTTGATGAAAATGTTCTAAAATTGCATGGTAATACAATTCTGAATATATTAAGAGACTATAAATTTTATGATTAAAATTGTTGAACTGTATGGTATGTTGTTATATCTCAATAAAGATGCTTTTTAAAAAATCCAAAGGCAGAATCTATATAATTTTCTTATTTTCTACTTTGGATACAAATTCTATACATGATCTGAATATTTCTATGATTTTATAATGTCTAAAATGAAAGAAAAGAAACTGAGGGAAATGCCTAATGTTTCAAATAATTTTAAGATTAATCTAAAACTTTTGCATTTTTGAGAAAAGTATAATGGCTTCTCTGTGCAAATCATCTTGAAATCCACAAAATAAATACATACAGATTCTGTATCTTTTCACAACAGGGAAGAAATAAGGTAATTCTAAAACATTCCATTAAACATTATTCTCTGATTTAATCTAGCTCACCTCAGAATGGCAATAATCACTAAAAAAATACTATTTAAGAGAAATATGTCTCTCTCAACTTCTGTGATGTATGATGTAAAATTCTCAAATTTCCTAAGGATAAATATTTTAAGGAAAGATGTATGAAATTATAAGAATGCAAGTTAGAATTTAAGAAATAATTGCATTACAAAGATACTAAAATTGTAATAACATTAATTATAATGAAAAGAGAAAAGCTTGTTCACTGGAAATAGTATCACAAAACACTTTTAAACTGTCAATTAACTACTGACATGTTAAATTTCATACGTACTTGACTTCTTATTTGAGCTAGTTTTTTCTTTAAATCCTGTGTCTCATCCTCCAAACTAATGCGATAACGTGATGAAACTTCTAGTGAAGCCTCTGACATAGATTGTTTTTTCAGGGTATCAGCCAGTTCTTGTTGAAGTTGTCTCACAACTGCCTGATAAGATATTTCTGTTACTGATTTTATAAATCACATTAGTATTAAATTATATTAATAAAATATCACCACAACTCACCTTTCTCTCAAGTGTGTATGTACTTCTGTTTATTACTGAATTCAATTGTGTATGCAGAAGGCATGGTCTTCCTGCCTAATACTATTCTATTCCCTTTATGTTAGATTCAGTCTTCTATCCACTCTTCCCCTGATGAAGTTTTAATTTAAAAACATAATGAAGTCTCAAAAAGAAATAGGTACATGGGCAGAAACGGTGGTGATGAGTTTTTACACAGTGTGACATGCTCCTCCTTTTTTATTAGAGGCACAATAAAATTCAGGGTTCCTCACATATTCAATTCTTTGCTTGAATCCTTCCAATAGATTATTTTTCTTTCTTTCTTTCTTTTTTTTTTTTTGTCACCAAGGATTGAATCCAGAGGCACTTAACCCCTGAGCCACATCCCTAACCCTTTTTATATTTTTACTTAGAGACAGAGTCTCCCTAAGTTGCTTAGGGCCTTGCTAAGTTGCTAAGGCTGGCTTTGAACTTTCAATTTCCCTGCCTCAGTCTCCTGAGCCAATGAGGTTACAGGTGTGCACCGCTGTGCCTGGCTTAAAACATGTTGGGCTGGGGATGTGGCTCAAGCAGTAGCGCGCTCACCTGGCTTGCGAGTGGCCCGGGTTCGATCCTCAGCACCACATACAAACAAAGATGTTGTGTCCGCCAATAACTAAAAAATAAATATTAAAAAATTCTCTCTCTCTCTCTCTCTCTCCCCCCTCTCTCTAAAAACAACAAACAAACAAAAAAAAAACCATGTATATAATTTGTAATGATAAGATTAGGTCATTGGCATACTCAACACCTCAAACATGAACCATTTCTTTGTGCTGGAAATCAAGGCTATGCTATATTTCCTGGAACCAAGATATGTTTTTGAGCTGATATAGCAAATAAATTTATAATCTATATATTTTTATATTCAACTATATTAAACATCTAGCCATAGTGAAATAATATTTTTTGATTTTTTTTCAGGAAATTTGAAAAATATTCATCTTTCTTAATACTTACTTCTCTTTCTGCTTTTTCATTTTCATACTGATACAGCCTTTCTTTTAAATGATTATATTCGTTGATTAACTCCTTATTTCTGTCTTCTAGCATGAGATTTTGCTTTTCACTCTCAGCTTGAAGTTTTTTTACAATGTCATGAAATTGGTCTTGGATATTAATTACTGTCTTTTCTTTATTGTCAGCTTTGTTTTGAGCATCATCTAATTGTTGTCGAAGCAATGTATTTTCACTTTGTAGTTGAGATAATCTCTCCTCTAAAGATTCTTGCTTACCAACATATTTATTCACCTTACCTTGTTCATTTTGATACATACATTCAATTTCCTTCATTTGGCCCTGTGTTTGGTTTAGGTCCCTTTGTACCTGTTCTAAAACCAAAGTCTTTTCTCTAAGAGCATCTTTTGTATGGTGGAGTTCAATTTCTAGACTATTGAATTTTCTTTCAGCTTTCGAAAGCTGTTGGGAAAGAATCTCATTGTTATCTTTTAGATTAGATATACTGAAATTCATCTTATCCTGTAAACGAAAACACTCATCTCTTGATCTCTGGAAAGCAAGTTCTAGGTCTCTTTTTGATGCCTGACTTTCATCATAATCATGGATAGCAGCAGCCAGTCTAGAACGGTATGATTCAACTTCTATTTCCAGTCTTTCCTTGTTTTGTTTTTCATTCTCCAGTTTAGAATTTAGCATTGTATTCTGAGCTGTCAGGATACTAAGCTGTCCATTATATTGGAGTACTGTTGTTGTAAATGTTTCCTCATTCAGTTTTATTGTCTTTTGAAGGTTATCATTCTTTTCATTTGCAATTTCAACATCCTCAAGATATTTCTTTTCCTTTTCCTGGTTCTGATTTTTTATTGTGTCTATTTCTAGTCTTATCATGGAGATTTCTTTCTGCAAACTGTGACTTTTATGCAGTAAATCTTTTTCTTTTTCATGACTAATAGAAACCTAAGTTTAAAAAAAAAGGAGACAGGTATTACTCAATGAAATGACATATCATAATGTGTTCTGAAATTAAATAACAACCTGCCTATTTATATAATGAAAGAGTTGCAATCAATGGATAACAGGGAAAAAACTTGTTCTAAACTTCAAACCTTACAGAAGCATAAATTCTCCAAAGTTCAAAAATTTAAGTGAAGACAATGAATCCATAAAAGTAAAAAAATAAATGATAACTTAAAAGGAATTTCAGAATTGGAAAAGTCTTTCCCTGAACTACATTAATGGAGGTAGTTAGCTAGAAATGAGCAGGAATTGGAGGGGCCAAAAGAGGGGAGAAGCTTTAAAGAGCCTCTGACCCAGAGGACTCATTACTAATCACATGTTGCCGTAAGGAAATATATTTCTCCTTCCCCTTATGTGGGTAGGGCGAAAGTAAAGCTAAGAAATCTACCATAGGAATGCAGGTAAACAACTCAGAGACACTGGTATTACCAGTTTTTCTCCCTCCACATTGAGGGGGCCCATCACATTCTTAGGTCAATTTATGGGCACAGATCATGTTAACAAGGTCACATTTGTATCTACCACATACTCCAAGTCAACTGACCATGTTATATGAACTACTGTCAGAGTTGCTAGAACAGAAATGACAAAATGACTCAAGTACATAGATGTGTACTCTCAGTTTTCACACAGTGCAGGTTTATTATTACCCCCAAATGGGTAATGGTTGTACAAGTGCCACGACCCAATAGTAGTGGCTACCATCCATTCTAAGATTTCATGCCACTGCAAATTTTCACTCCCTATCCTAACAAAAGCTTAAGCATAATAATTTCAGCACATCTGGGTCAACAGTCAATCTGTTCTGCCTCTTTCTCTGGGCTGTATCTCACTTTCTTTTATTGTTTCCTTGCCTTACAATAAACCTGCTCTAATTACTATCCTGGCCTTGCTATACTTGGTTCTGTCCTGGGGTAACTACCTAAGTTCTTAGGCAGGACACACAAAGGCTGAGGGTCACTCCACAGTGATCTTTCAATGTGTGGTAATAATTACAAGAGACCCAAAATGTAAAATAAGAAATTAAGAAATTTGATAATGAGTGCAAAAAAGATGGCAGAGTGGATTTAGGCAGGAACCCTCAATTCCTCTGCAATCTAGAATCGAAGATGTGAAAGAACAGCTGACTAGAAAGGTGTGTGACAGAATAAGTACTCTGAAACTCAATTTTAGACAATTTGAGATTTGGAGTGATTTAGAATTTGGTTACTGGAGCAAAACATAAAAAAATTCCTTGACCTCAAACCCTGACCAGTGTGTGGGGGAAGGGGTGGGTAACAAAATAGGAAAGAGTAGAGGCAAACCCCCAAAGCTTACTTCCTTAACAATTGGAAAAAAAAGCAGAAAGAAAGGCAGCAAGTGGAACAGGAACATCAGACAGTAAAGAAGACTGCACAATTCATCCCAAGTTGTTGGCAGAAAACTGGACAGGACAGCCATTTAATAGAGACCATGGCTGGTTGACCTCCCTAGAAGAAATTAAATCTACATGACTTCTCCCCACCTATAGAAATAAAAACAGAAAACACCTCTGAAATGTGTTATCTTAGTAATATGCCTACAAAGACCTTGTAGAGGGATCACTTCTAGCTGAAGGTTACTGAAACCCTCTCCCCCTGACAACAGACAAAGGGAGCGGGGTGGAGCTGACCCAATGCAAGAAACTCCCAGGGAGTTAACCAATTCAGTACTCCTCACAGCTGCCAGATGCATGAGCTCAATCGAAGACAGACCAATTGACACTACACCAATGATAATGGGTAAAACACCAGTGACCTGCAGTAGCCAGGGTGGCTTCTGTGCCAAATTGCCCATAGAGAACCTGCATTCGTAGGCTTAACAATTGCAGACAGTCATCAAGTGCTTAGATACAGCTGTATCAACATGCCCCAGCAGAGGGGAGTGATCCACAGCAGCCAGTGATAGTACTGAGTTTTGCACCCCTGCACCCAACACAAATGGCCAGCAGACAGAGCACGTGAAGACTTGGCCCTCTGGGCTGACAACAAACATCAGTAGTTGGTGTACAAACTGTAACATCCAGGAAATTGGCTCCTGTGCACCAATTAGAGGGTCTAGAGCTATAAGTTGCAGAACTGTCAGTTGACATAATTCTTGTTGACACACACCAACACACAGAAGGCATTTCCTGAGGATAACCCCAAGATGCCAGGGGAGAAACTCATATATGAAATGCAGTCACCCCACAAAGGAGCTTACAGAGGAGCATCCACCCCAGACACCAGCCACTGCCAGTGTACCAGATACAAGTGCACTGATCAGTAAACCTGCACACTCCATAGGGTGCAGCAGCCCTGAACTTCCCATGTGCCACTTAGCATCACTTTAACCAGACCACCAAAATACCTCCACTTTAGATGGCCACACCTGGAACACTCCAAAGTACACACAGGGGATTCCATACCAGATAGGACAGTGTTGGATACATGCAGCTTTTCTTTGTGAGAGCAAACAAAATTGTACCCCCTAATAGTGTGACCCAGCTGCGAAGTTGCAATTGGGGATCATCTCTTCTGATCCACCAGAAAGCCAGGTGGTGCCTGGACACAACAAGATCTGAGGTGGCCTCCTAAAATTGTATCAGAGATGAGCTGGTGTGATCACTACCTCTACACACAGGGAACTGTAGAGGTAAAGTCAAGGATTGGTGGGCATCTTCTAAAGGACCCATTATAAATCCCCATCAGGAAGACTCAACAAGACATCTCTCTACCTCAAATAGCTTGTCATAAAATACAGCTCTAACATTAGTTTTGATTTTACAGATAATACTTTTCATACTGAATTAATAGCTGTTCCTTTATTATTCAATATTTCAATCCTCAAGCCAATTGATTATATTTCTTCTAATGTTTTAAAGCATAAACTGAATCATCCTATCTTTCATCTCTTAGCTCAGATTTACACTTGCTCTTTTTAAGTCTCTCTTTTCACTATTGCATCATTTACTCCTGTCTTAACCTTTTTCCTATTTTCTTCCTTTTATCTTATTTAGTTTGTATTGATTGATTTCTCAATTTTTCTTTGTCTGCTTTCTCTTTACTCTTCAAACCCTTATTCAGTGTAGTTCTAATTTTCCTGTTTTTAATAAGTGATTTCTCAACCTATTCAAGAATATTTATAACTCCAATTTTATAGTTGGGTTAGGGGAGTTATGGAAAACATTTTCAGTAAGCTTTCCCCCCCCTAAGGTTTATTAATGCATGGCTTTGTTCTAAAGTAGTTGCAAGTAATAGGGTTTAGTATATTCTCTCAAAATGGTGCTGGGTATTAGGCGTAACAGTGGGTACACATTGAGTGGGAGTATTGACACTTAGATATTCAGCCAGCCTAAGGCTCTTGGGAAGGAAGCTCGCTAAATATAGTCTCTTGCACAAAAGTAGAAGAGAAAATCATCTCAGCAGATGGGTAGAAATATAAACAATAAGAAAAAGCAAGGGAAGAAGTCACCCAAATAGCCTACAACACTTCAATAACTGATCTCATTGATACCACTGATTTCATTGATAACCACAGTGGAGGAAATGTCATATGGAATTCAGATGTTCATAATTAAAAATAATCATGAACTAAAAGAAGACTAAGGAATGAGCTAAAAGAGAAATATAGGAAGTGAAGGAACATTTCATGAATAGATATTCTGAAAAAGAACCAACCAGAAATCCTGAAAATGAAAAACTAAATATATCAAAATAAATTCAGTTGAAAGCATTACCAATAGATTACAACTCATAGAAGACAGATATTCAGTCCTCAAAGACAAGGTATAGAAACTTAAAAATACAGTAATAAAGAGAAGATGACAGAGAACATGACCAGAATATCCAAGAAATCTGGGATAATATTAAGAGGCCAAATCTAAAAAAACACTGGCTTAGAAGAAGGAAATAAAACACAAACTAAAGGAATGCTTAACCGTTAATGTCAGATAGATAAATAATATCAGAAAAATTTCCACACTTGAAAGTGAGATGGAAATTCAAATACACTATGCCTAGAATTAGAAATAGACAAGATCAAAAAAAGATCCTCAAGATAGATTAAAACATTTAAAGTTAAGCAAAGCAGACTTTCTGTAATTTCCCAGCCCAGACTCTCAAAGCAAGGAGGGCTTAAAGTTGTGAATCATTGTGAATTATTGCTATATCCAGCAATGCTATTTTTTCAGAATTGTGGTACAATAAAGCCCTTCCAAGAGAAGCAGAAACGAAAAGAATTCATGAGTACTAAGCAGCATGATGAAAAATAATGTAGAATAAGCAAAAAAAAAAAAAAATTGAAGACAACAAATGGTTGAATCTTAATAAAAGAATACCCAAGTAAAAGGTAACAAGTCTGAATTAAATAGAAGTAAATCAAATGCAAAATGCTTGTCTAGCATGTGGTAGTCCCTGAGTCTGATTTCCAGAACTGCAAAAAACAAAACAAAAAATCAAAATGGCTGGAAATAAAAATTATCTTCCTTTAATGACACTGAATGTAAATGTTCTCAAGTCTCAAATCAAAAAGACACAGAGTGGCACAGAGGATTAATAACTAGAAAAACCAAGATCCAACCATGTGTTGTTTCAGAACTCACTTTACAGGCATAGATATTTACAGGCTGAAGGTGAAAGGATGAAAAAAGATATGCCATGCACATAGAAACTGAAGACAAGCAGATGTGACATGGACAAAGTAGACTTTGAGCCAAAATTAATTCAAAGAAATAAACAAGGTTGCTTTATGCTGGTTAAGGGAACTATCCAACAACAAGATAGAATGATTGGAAATATTTATGTCACAAATACCAATACATCTACTTACGTAAACACTATTTGATTAAAAAAAAAACCCTCAAGTAGACTTCAAAACAATAGGACTATATGATTTCAACACAATTCTCTCACCAAGAGATAGGTCACCCTCACACAAAGTATGTAATGGCTTTTCAGACCTAAAAAATAATGCTAATCAAATGGACCCAACAGATATCTATATAATATTTCATCAATCCAAAACAGAATTCATTTTCTTCTCAGCTATACATGAAACCTTCTCCAAAATAGTCCATATTTTAGAAAACAAAAGCAAGTCTTAGAAAGTATAAGAAAATAAAATTAAAAAAGGAAAAAGATAATTTTTTTGCATTTTATCAGATCAGAATGGAATAAAGCTAGGAATCCACAAGATAAAAAACAGAAACCACTTAAACACATGGATATTAATATACTTCTGAATGAGGAATGGGTCTTAGAAGAAATCAGGGGAGAAATAAAAAAAAATCTGAAAAACAAATGTGAAGAGAGTTATAAAATTAAAATCTCTGAGAGTACGAAGGCAGTTCTGGAGGAAAGTTTGCGATATGGAGTGATTACATAAAAACAAATACAGAAAGATTCCAAATAAATAATCTAATGTTACATTTCAAGGTCCTAGAAAAGTAAGAACAGACTAATTCCATTATTTTCCAGAGCAAGACAGGAAATAATGAAGATCAGAGCCAAAATTAACAAAATCAAGAATAAAAAAATACAAAGGATCAATACAATAAAGAGCTGTTTATTTATTTTTTTAAAACTGGGGATGGAACTCATGAGCACTTTAATCCCTAGCCTTTTAAATTTATTTATTTAGAGACAGGGCTCACTAACTTGTGAGGCTGGCCTAATACAACCCTCCTCTGGCCTCTCAAATTGTTGGGATTACAGGCATGCACCACTGTATCTAGCAGAGTTGGTTCTTAAAAAAAATAAACAAGATTGATAAACCCTTAGTCAAATAAGAACCAAATGAAAAGTGTAGAGATGAAAAGTATATATCACTAGAAATATTTCTGAAATACAGAGGATCATTAGGAACTATTTTGATATTGATTAAATTTTCATCACATATGATCCACTCAAATTGAATCAAGAGGATACAGAAAACCTAAACAGATGGATATCAAGGAATAAACTGAAGCAGTATTTAAAAATCTTCCAAAAGAGGAAAGCCCAGCACCAGAGGGTTTCTCAGGTGAGTCTAGTAAAAAAGAATTAATGCCAATTCTCCTCAAATTATTCCATGAAATAGAAAAGGAACACTACCAAATTTATTCTATGAAGTCATTATCACATGATATTCAAACTAAATAATGACACACTAAGGAAAGAAAACTACAGAACAATAACTCTGATGATCATAGATGCAAAAATCCTTAATACAATATTAGCCATTTACATTCAAAAACACATTAAGAAGATGGTACACCATGATCAAAATGGTTTCAACCCAGGGACGCAAGGTTGATTAAACATATACAAATCAATAAATATAATTCACCACATAAATACAATTAAGGACAAAAATCACATCATCTGAAGAGATGCAGAAAAAGCCTCTGACAAAATTTAGCACCCATTTATGAGAAAAATACTGAAGAAACTAGGGATAGAGGAATTTATCTCAATATCATAAAGGCTTCATATGATAAACCCATAGGAAATATCATACTGAATGGAGAAAAACTGAACAGCGGAGGGCTATTGACTGGGGCCTGCTGTACACTGCTACAGCTAGGGGCTGGACTGTGGCCACCCCGCTTGTTGCTTTCCTGGGCGCCACTCCCCCGGCTGGCCCGACACGACGCGCCAGTAGCGCGACACTGATTCCTCCTGCACTCTTGGGCGCTGCTCTGAGCAGCGTCACCCTTTACACCAGAAAGCTAGCGGGCGCTATGGAGAAAAACAAAACAAGAAGAAAGTAGAGGAGGTACTAGAAGAAGAAGAAGAGGAATATGTGGTGGAAAAAGTTCTCGATCGTCGGGTTGTAAAGGGCAAAGTGGAGTACCTCCTAAAGTGGAAAGGTTTCTCCGATGAGGACAATACATGGGAGCCAGAAGAGAACCTGGATTGTCCCGACCTCATTGCTGAGTTTCTACAGTTACAGAAAACAACACATGAGACAGATAAATCAGAGTGCGGCAAGCGTAAAGCTGATTCGGATTCTGAAGATAAGGGAGAAGAGAGCAAACCAAAGAAGAAAAAAGAAGAGTCTGAAAAGCCACGGGGCTTTGCCCGGGGTTTGGAGCCGGAGCGGATTATTGGAGCTACAGGCTCCAGTGGAGAGTTCATGTTCCTGATGAAATGGAAAAACTCTGATGAGGCTGACCTGGTCCCTGCCAAGGAAGCCAATGTTAAGTGCCCACAGGTTGTCATATCCTTCTATGAGGAAAGGCTGACGTGGCATTCCTACCCCTCAGAGGATGATGATAAAAAAGATGACAAGAATTAACTCTTCTGAGTACCAGCCCCTGTCGCCTGTGACTGTGGGTTTAAGTGGGGAGGTTAGGAGTTCTACTTGTGTTGACACCATAAAGGTGGCTTGAGATGATGTCCTTTGAAGAAACAGTCTAGTTTCTGTGCCCTGCAGCAGCCCAAGTGCTTTAAAGCCTTTCTAAGCTGTATAGTTTGCATACCCATCCCAGTGGAGGGGAAAGGGGTAAGTGTTTCAAGGCAACCCATTCTGCACTTTATTGAGAAAAGCAAAGGGCCTTCTATGAAGGACAAAATTTGCAGAATTGGGTGTGTGGGAAGGCAAAAAATACTGTTGATCTTCAAAGAGCATCTCCTCAACCCACAGCCTTTCTTCCCAATAGTGTTAATTCTGCATTTTTACAGCGTAGCATGTGTGTAGTTACTGGTGTATTATTTGGGGTGGAGGGATTGGGCAGGGAAGAAGGGAGATGCATAGGATCATTTTCTTTAAAATTTGGGGCCTGACTGGGTGAAACAATGGAAAGAACAAGCAACTAATGATTTGGTTCTATGTCCAGAATATTTTACCTTATTCAAAAAAAAAAAAAAAAAGGTCATTGGCACCATAAATGCGGACTGTGAGGGACTGTTTAAAAGCTGTGAAAGCCTGAAACCTATAAGCCAAGGTGTTCCTTGCCTGAGTTAATGTTGTCCCCACAAAGGACTAAGCCAGTTCCTAAGTTACCAAAGCTGCCATTCTGGAGATAGAAACTGACTGAGGTGGGAAGGTCTTTTATTGGAGAGTATACACAGGCAGATTATTCTTAGAGGTGCTAATTCTTGCAATCAGACAAAAAGACCCTTTCTTTTCCAATTATAAACTTATAAATAAAATTAGCTTGTCCATCTAAGCCCCTGGCTAAAGTACTAGGGGAGGGGCCAAAGGGGTACAGGAAATGGAAGAGTAGGGAAAGAGGAGGGCCCACACTCGGGTTGGTAACTGTTGGAGTCTCTGCTTTTTAAACTTTGAACTCTGAAACCATAAGTGGCAGAGTTCAGTTACTGACAGCACAAGTTTCATTAGTCAATTCAAAGGTTGAGTGATTTCAAAAGCCCTGGTCTCAGGAGATTAGCTTTCATATTGGGGCAGTGGTTCACTTTAAACACATTTTTAAATTTTTTTTGAAGAAAAAAAATATTATGAATTAACTGATACCCAAAATGCTGTCTTGAATCATGAAATCAAAGTTCTTGATATCATCTAGACCTGCATCTAGAGCTACATTGTAAAATCCTTTTAGGCATGTATTAGGTTTATGTGAGATTTTTCTTTAAATGTAAACTTCATACACACTGTCAGTTTTTGTCTTAATAAAACTATAGATTTATAAAACAACAACAACAACAACAACAAAAAAAAAACTGAACAGCATTTTTTTTCTAAAATCAAGAATAAGACATTGTTGCCTGCTCTCATTACTCCTATTCAGTGTGTTCTTGAAATTAGCCAGATAAGTCAGGCAAGAGAAGGAAATTAAAGAAATATAAATAGAAAAAAATTACATTATCTCTGTTTCCCAATGACATGATCCTATATCTAGAAGATTCCCCCTACAAAATAAAATTCCATCAGAAGACTATTGGAGCTGATAAATAAGTTCAGCAAAGTAGCAAGATACAAGATCAACATTTAAAAAATCAACAGCTTTCCTATACTTTAATAGTGAATCTGCTGAGAAAAAAATGAGAAAAATAATTCCATTCACAATAGCTTTAAAAACCAGATCAAACCAAATCAAACTCAAAACAAAAAAAAATCAACCTGTGAATACACCTAACCAAGGAGGTGAAAGACTTCTACAATGAAAATTACAGAACACTGAAAAAAGAAGCTGAAGAAGACCTCAGAAGATGTTTCTTTAACCTGCACAAAAATCAACTCAAAGTGGATGAAAGACCTAGGAAATAGACTAGGACACCACAGCTGCAGAAGATGGAAAGACCTCCCATATTATTAGATATGTAGAATTAATATTGTCAAAATGGCTACATTTTCATATACAGATTCAATGTAATCTCCATCAAAATAACAATGGCATTTTTCACAAAACTAGAAAAAATATTTTAAATTCACTGTAGGAAAAACAGACTCAGAGTAGCAAAGCAATACTGAGCAAGAAGAGTGATGCTGGTGGCTTTATGATACCTGTTCTCAAATAATACAACAGAGCTATAGTAACAAAAACAGCGTAGTACTAGCATAAAAAGACATGGAGATCAATGGAATAGAGTGGAGGAGACCAAGAAAAAAAATCCATATAGCTAGTCATCTGTCCCTAATAGAGGTGCCAAAAACATACATTGGAGAAAAGAACTTTTTTTATCAAATGGTGCTGGAAAAACTGGCTAGCCATATGTAGGAAAATGAAACTAGATTCCTGTCTGTTCACCTTGCATAAAAATCAACTCAAAGTGGATCAAAGACCTAGGAAATAGATCAGAGACACCACAGCTATTAGAATAAATCAATGGGCCAATACTCCAGCACACTAATGCAGGCCATGACTTCCTTTATAAGACTGCTAAAGCTCAAGAAATAAAACCAGGAATCTATTAAGGGGGATAGCTTCAAATTAAAAAGCTTTGGTGCAGCAAACAAGAGTGTGAAATGAGAGTCTATTGAATGGGAGAAGGTCTTTGCCAGTTACTCTTCTGACAGAAAATCAATATGCAGAATAGTGCAGAATATATAAAAAACTCAAAAACCTTACCATGAAAAAAAATAGCTCTATCAAATAATGGGCAAATGAACTTGCAAATGACTAACAAATACATGCAAAAATGTTGAACACCCTTAGTAATCAGAAAAATGCAAATCAAAACTACACTAAGATTTTATCTCATTATAGTTAGAATGACAATCATCAAGAATACAAATAATAATTGCTGGGTGAGGACATGGGGGAAAAGTTTCACTCATGTATTTGTTGGTGGGACTGCAAATTAGTACAAACACTCTGGAAAGCAGTATGAAGATTCCCAAAAAGCCTTGGAATGGAACCACCATATGGCCTAACTATTCCCCTCCTTGGTACCTATCTAAGAACTAAAATCAGCATATTATAGTGACAAATGCATAAAAATATTTATAGCAGGAGCACAATTCACAAGAGCAAGTTATAGAACCATCCTAAGTGTCCCTCAATAGACAAATGGATAAATGTCTGGTATATATAAAATTTTTGCTCATCCAAAACCAAAAATGAATTATGTCATTTTCTAATAAATTGATGGAAATGGAGAACATCATACTAAATGAAATAAACTTTTTCTCACATGTGGAAACTAGAAAGAAATAAAGAATTAGGGGGAAAAAAGATCTCACAAAAATAGAAGAAAGAACAGTGGAGTAGAAGAAAGAGATTCAGGGAGAGGGAGGAGGGATGGAAAAGGGAAGAACTGTAGAATGAAACTGACCAAACTATGAAATGTGCATGTAATGAATATATCATAATAAATTCCACTTTTATATATAACTATGAGGCACCAATTAAAAAATAAATTAATTGAAGGAAGATCAATAGAGGAGAGGAAAGACATCAGGAGGAGAAAGGACAGGAATGAAGGAAGTAGTACTGAGAATTGAAATAGAGCAAATTATGGTATATGCATTTATGGATATGTCAAAATGAAATCCATGATTATATATAACTATAATGCATTAATTAAAAAAAGAAATTTCATCACTTTAAAGAAGTTAGGTTTATACTCTGATATCTAATGTATACAGCATAATAAAAGCCTTAGCTCTACATATGTTTGGACAGATAAAATTTTCCAATGATTTTAGATTCCTTTTTCCTTAAAATATTACATAATACTCCAACATTTTAATAGTCATTTATAAGAATTATAGTTGTTGATAAATCTATACATTATAATAAGCACTTCTACATATATCATTGAACTCAATCATCACAATTCTGCAAGACAGGTTAAAAATGTAAGCAAGCCACAGGATTTTCCCCATATTTTCTGAATCTACTTCTAGTATTCTACCAATCAGTTGTTTCTGTATTGCAAATATATAAATATAAAAAATTCTTGTAATTCAAAATGCTGTGGAAAATAAGGTGAAATTTATGGGGCTGTTCTTAGACAATATTGATATTACTTGCTGGTGTAGTAACCTTTCTTTCTTCTTCATGGTGTTTTAGAAATTAATACAAATGAGGAAAATACAAATACCTATTTCACTAGAAACAAAATATTTTTAACAAAAAATATCACTAAGTATATATTATGGTATACCACTGTTTTCAAAAGCTCTTTTTACTGAAATAAGAGGTTGCTTGAGGAAATGACATCCAAAATAGGTCTCTGCTTTGATACTTTTCTTTCTTGTAGTAGATGTTACAAACAACATCATATCAAGGGGGTGAAATCACTGCAAACACCTAGAAAGAACATCCATTGCTACTACAAAGGGTTTTGAGATAGTGAAATCATCAATTCCTAGAGAAAATATTAAATTCTTTTCTTTGAATGAGGCCACTGTGAAAATCTCTATTGAACTACTACAGACAAATGAAGTTGAATTAAGAACATTAATTTATTCAATGAGTCCCAAATGCCACACCACTCCAAAATATATAACTATGTATATAAAATACCATGTTAAAATAAATACTTTAAAGAATTGGCTATACTTTCCAAAATGCATATGTTGTTTTTTAAAATATGAAGACATACAAAATACACACACAAATTGGCAATGACTAAGGAAAATACCTCTGAACTCATTTTCATTTGCGCCGTTTCTATTTCCTTTTGTTTGCAAAGATGATTTGCCAGAATCCCATCTTGTAATATTCTAGCATTCTGTTCTTGAGTAAGCTGCCTCTGGAGGTCATTTCGGTCCTCTAAAACCTAGAGATACATTTCATTAAGTTTTTGGTTTTGTTACACTGGGGAAATTCTAAAAGCTTAACTGAAAGCATAATCCACAAAATTAAACACACACACACACACACACACACACACACACACACAACTATAAAAAGGAAGTAGTCTATTAAGGTCATATGAATTACTTAATTTTGTGCTTTCTTTTCCCTTGGTACTAGAGATTTTTTTCTTACTCAGAGGCACTTAACCACTAAGCCCCATCCCCAGTCCATATATATATATATTTTTTTTTTGTTGTTGTTGTTTAGGTTTTGAGACAGGGTCTCACTAAATTGCTTAGGGCCTTGCTAAGTTGTTGAGGCTGACTTTGAATTTGTGATCCTCCTGCCTTAGCCTCCTGAGCTGTTGGGATTAAAATTAAATTCGTCAAAGAATATAACTAGTTCTTAACAATATATAGAAACAATATCATGAAATAAACATTTTTATAAAACATTTAATTAGTTTCACAATAGTTTCAAAGCTATTAATGTGTATTTTTGGATTTTAACATAAAAATGCTGCATTTACAATTTTTGTTAGTAATTAAAATCAATTTACTTTTCATTCCTTCATTCAGAAAACATATAGTGAACATCTATTAGAATCCAAGATTCACAATGCATAATTTTAGTTATAAGAATCATAATTTATTTTTAGGGTAA